CCCTCCCTCTCTCTCTCTCTCTCTCTCTCTCTCTCTCTTTGTTTCTTTCTTTCTTTCTTTCTTTCTTTCTTTCTTTCCTTCTTTCCTTCTTCCTTTCTTTCTTTCTTCCTTTCTTTCTTTCTTTTTAGCAGACACCTCTAATGACAAGGAATCTGATTGGAAGTATACTTTTCTCAAATTAAGAAACTAGATGAATATTTAAATCAACAATTTCCAATTCAAGATTTTACCTGTTTTTTGATATGAAGTAGATTTTTAAATTTTAATAACATACAATATTAAGCCATTTCAAAGAATTTCTGCCTTCAAAATATATTATTCATGGATCAGTATCTTTTGAGAACTTATAATAAAGCAACTTTTCTCAGATGACATAGTGGACTTTTCTTAATTATCTGGACAACTGTAAGGTGTCACATATTGGGTGCACTCACTATGCCCTTAGTTATGTGAAATGCAAGTATAAAATCAAAAGCATAAATATTTTTCCTTTCTGAATCATCTTGAAATTTCTAACCACTAAATGGTAGAGTATGCCTAACCTGTGACCTCTTCTCAACTTTATCTACAATTGAGAGTTAGCCAACTGGTTCCATGATTTTCCTAATCAACCCCTACCCCTCCATGAAATTTCAGAACTATAAAAAAACTCTGTATCTGTTCAAGTATGTACAGTTACCCTTTGGGAGACTACAAGCCATTGTAATGCCTAAGGTTATTCTACTTCCCAGAAACCAATTGTTGTTTGTATCTGTAGGGGCTATGTCATCCTGATAGGGGATGCATATCTTAATGTAAATCTAGGTTGTGTTCTCAGTTCTCATTAGAAAAATCTATAAGCTGTAACAGAAGTTAAAAAAAATAGATGACACTAGGATTACTGTATGTATACACGTGGATGTATAACCAATTGTGATTCTGCAATCTGTACACATGGAAAAATGAGAATCCATACCCTATTTGAATCAAATGTATGATATGTCAAGATGATTGTATTGTCTTGAACAACTAATAAAAATATTATTTAAAAAACAGATGATTAAAAAGAGTAGCACAAATATCATCTAAGATAATCTGGGAAAACACAAACCCTACCATAAGTGATATGAAGGGATTTTGTTGTTCTGAGATTTGGATAGAGCAGTGTAATATTATTTATGTATTCATTTCAAAAATATTTGAAAAGTGTACCAGGCACTGCTTTGGATTGAGGATGGAATCAGTAGCATCAGATACTGACATCTTTCCTGAACAGAATTCAAGCAAAACTCCAAAAATTTTTACTTGATCCATTAGAAGGGTAGAATTTCCATCAGCTGTGATGCAAAGAATTAAAGGTAGATCAGACTGTTGGAGGATGACAAAGTATTCATTTTTAGATATTTTTATTTTCAGATGCATATTATATATTCAAGTGGAGAAGTTAATAGGAAGTTAGATATACAAGTCTGGAATTCAGGAGAGAATTCAAGGGTGGAGTTATAAGTCTGGGAGTCATAGCCACATAGATGACATTTAAGGTTATGATCCTGTATGAAATCACAGATTTGATTGTCTGTTGTCTTTCTCTATTTTGAAATCTCTCTTTCTTTTCATTCTGCAGCTTTTATGTTTTCCAGGGTCAGAACAGAGTTAGACAAAGATGGCAAAATTATACACACACACACACAAAAAAAAAAATTATCAAATTATACCTTTAGTTTTCTTTGGTGGAGGTATGTGTGCCTTATATTGGTGTCTGACTTTGAGGGATTAGAAACCTTCTTCAGTGTTTATAGACAAGTTTTGACAGGTAAGTACCTTCTCTTTTTGCATCTCCAAACTAATGGGATTGGATTTAATCAAAGGAGAGTGAAGGTGGGTTATGTGGTTACTGATGGGTCCATAGTGGGGTCTGCACCGATGGGCTTATTATCAGGATCTTGAGCAGATTGCAAGAGAATACCACACTGTGTATTGCCACCTCAGGAAAAGATCAAAATTCAAAGTCTGTTTTCTCCTAAATGACTGTGACTTTCATTCCATTATGAAGTCAAAAAAATCATAAGATGAATCATTGTAAGTTAGACACCATCTGTATTTTGGTAGTCTCATCTGCTGAAAATAATAAAGGCAATTTTAAACTTTAAACAAAGACATGTATGTGATATGCATATACATGTACATATATGGGTATGTATGAAATGCACATGAAATACTGACTTTTTGAGGTACTGAGTTAATTTCCTTCGGATTCTCATTCCAAAGTAGTATTGCCAGATCATATAATATTCTACTTTTTAATGTTTTTCCATACTGTTTTCTATAAAGGTCGTGCCAATTTACATTCCCAAAGTTTTCCTTTTCTTTACATCCTTTTCAAATCTTGTTATGGTTCATATTTTTGATAATAGTGATTTTAACAGTATCTATATTTTATTTGCTTCTCTGATAATTATGTACTTTTTCATATACCTGTTGGTTATTTGTTATTTTTCTATTTGTTCTTTTTAGATACACAGGACAGTAGAGTGCCTGTTGGATATTTGTATGTTTTATGTGGGAAAACATCTTTTCAAGCCCAGTGACTGTTTTTTAGTTGGGTTACTTTTTTTTTCTATTAAAATATATGAGTCCCTTATATGTTTCAGATATCCTTACCAGGTGCACAGTTTTCAATTACCGTCTCTCATTCTGTAAGCTGCCTTTTCATTTTCTCAATTGTTTCTTTTCCTGTTCAGAAACATTTTAGTTTGATGTAATACCACTGGTTTATTTTTGCTTTTGTTGTTTTGGGGACCATGCCCCAAACAAACAAACAAACAAACAAAACAAAACAAAACAAAAATCAATGCCCAGAAGAATGTCTAGGAAGTTTCTATTTTCTAGAAAGTTTTATTGTTTTTGTCTTGCACTTAATTCTTTAATTAATCAATTTCAACTTAATTTTTGTAATTGTAAAGATTTTGTATATGGCCCAATTTAATTTTTTGCATGTAAATACTTAATTTTCACAGTTCCATTTATTGAAGATACTTCTAATTTTGTTCATACAATATTTTCCTGATTTTGTTTAGTTGTTTGTTTTTTCTTGTATTTGCCTTGACCTTCTTCAGGATGATGATTATATTTTGATTTACTTTTCAGGTAGTTCATAGATCTCCATTTTCTTGGGTTATTAGAACTTTCTTAGTTTTAATAAAATGGAAACCATAAAAAAGAAATCTTGAATTGATAAATACAATGACAGAAGTAGAAAATATAACAGAAAACATCAATAGCCAACTTCATCATGGAGAAGAAGAAAGATTAGTAACTCAAAGTCAGGTCTTTTGGAATTAGACAGCCAAAGAAACAAAAAAGAAAAGTAATGAGAAAGAATAAAGAAAAAGTATACTGACTATACTTAGACATGATCTAAATGATCCATTCATTAGGAAGACAGTTTTCTAGCAGTTCTAATTTAGAGTATATATTTTGGGGATGAGTGGTTGGTGGGAGACAGAATCTTTTGTTTGATTTCAATACATTTCTATTTAAAATATTTTTAAGGAAGTGAAATCTAGGAAAATTTTTTTTAAAAAAAGATAAAAAGATGAGTTAAATTGAGTTATCAAGGTTAATCCGGACCTCCTAGGAAAAGAAAACGGTAGCTTATTTTCCAGTACAACCTTGCCACCTAACTGGAAGGTATTACTATTTAAGTAATGAACACAGTGAGAGATAAGAAATACAAAAATTTGGAACTTGTTTAGTGAGTATTGAAACTTAGAAGTATAGGAAAAGTGATAGTATTGCACAGGTGATAACTGAAAAGAATAAAATGATAAGTAACAACAACACTACTATAGTAACAATGGCAGTTTGTATTAGTAATTGCTATCACTTACTAAAAACTTGTTACATTGTAGGCATTTATTTTAGGACTTTACATGTATTCCCATTAGCAACTTGGTTTCCAAGGTCACACAACTAGTTTCTAAGGCTAGTGTTCAAACCCAGATCCCTTTGTCTCTAATATCTATGCCCATAGAATCCTCAAATTATTTCCAAAATTTTCATATTCATAAAATCCTTTAAAACCATATCTTCTAGTACCCACCTTAAGGTCATCACTATATGGTGCTGCATTCAAATGAATTAAAAATGTACATTTAATCTTCATGTAAGTCCTTGAAAGAGGTATCCATCCACAGGATTACATTTAGAACACAAAGATTAAGGTCTTAATCGGAATCTACTCTTATCAATATATGTGTCAGGGATTGAATATTCTCATATTCTCTATGAGGACATGATACATCTCAAAAACTATACTTTGTCATTTTATATATAAAGAACTATGATATTGATTTAATAAGATACTTTCTTATACTGTATTTCGTGGAAATTAAAATCATTTTAGCATTTAAAACCTAAATAGGAATCATATTCTCTAATAATATCCATAATTCTAAAAAGAACTAAATTTTAAGAATCATCTTCAGTAAGATAGTGTAATAAGAATAGTAAACATTACCATTGTTTTTATGGTAATACTATTACTATTAATTCATAAACACTTGATTTATTATGATTTAATGAAATAATGATTTTAAAAGCACTGACTTGGTATCAACAAATAAAATAGTAGAAAAAATAATTTAAAGTATGTCTGATAAATGCTGCAAAGATATTTGATAAGATTCAACTTTCATCAGAGACTTTACACTCTTAATAAACATGTAATTGGACCTCTACTGTTGGGGCCTTTGAGAAGGTCTAATAAATCATCCTGAACAATTAAGAAAAAAGGCAGAGGAACAGAATATAGACAAAAATGTATGTTCATTATTTATAAGGAATACTTTGAAAGATATGGCTTGATGAGAAAGGCCAAATGGAGCCATACATTGAAAGTCACAACTAGAAAAC